TGATATTTATTTTTGGAATTAATTAAATATGAGTAATTTTGATAATTTCCCTTGTTACAGTAAAAAAAATATGCTTCCATGACAAAATTCCATCTAACATGATGTCTTTAATAAATCAAAACACAAAAAAACAATAGGAAAAAATAAGTGAAAATGGGGTTAAGGCTCTTCTTGGGTCTCGCTATCACAGTGAGGGCGTCGGGGGAAAATCTATGCAATGAGGGAGCCGTCCCTATAGGAGATTTCAAGTTTGTTTCAATATATTAAAAAAGAAAAAAAAACTAATAATCAACAAATTATTGTTGAGAAATTAGAGAGAAATAATATATTTTTCAATTTTTTGACAGTTCATCAATATTACCTCGTTGATGCACAAAATCAATTGATATTGGAACAGAAAAAAAAGACGAATCTATATAGGGCTACTGAAGCTAATCTCAATATATTTGAAACAAATAAAAAAATCATAAAACATTGTTGAGTAATTAGGGAGAAACAATAGATTTAGCGGAACATGTACAGTTCATCGATATTACCCATAGGATGTAATAAATCAATCGATATTGAAGCAAACAAACACAAAGTAACATATAGGTTTTCAAGTTATTTCAATATCTTAAAAAAAAAAGATCAAAACATTGTTGTTAATAAATTAGAGAAAATATTAGATTTTGTAATTTTTTGATTGTTTATTGATATTAGCTCTATGATGCACGAAATCAATCAATATTGAAGCAAAAAAAAACACCGATTTGTAGGGATTTTGAAGATGGTTTCAAAAACTTCAAAATAAACTACAAAATACACTAATAATCATAAAAAACTATGGAATAATTAGAGAGAAATGATAGAGTTGACAATTTTTTCACAATCTAAGGATGTTACCTCTTTGATACACGAAATCAGTTGGTAATGGTGAAAGAAAACAAGTATCTGTATAGGGCTCTTGAAGCGGATTTCAAAAGCTTCAAAACAAGCTAAAAATCTTCTGATTTGGTGTGCAAATCATCGAGAACAATGAGGTTTGACAAGAAAAGAAATCACGGATAGAACCCTAAAACCAAAAATTTAAGGATCTTAAACTTGATAAACATGAGAATCAGTAGAGGGCTTTTGTAGATAACTTCATTAGATTGAAAATGAACCCATAATCAATCAATTCATGGATAAATAAGAAATAACGTAAGAGATTGGTGATTTTTTTTTTCTGAACAAAGAACCCTAAAAACTCAATAATTTCGAGATGTTGTTCGATTTGGGTTTTGTTGAACCCAAATCTTACCATAAACATAATATTGCTGATAAAAACATGGAAAGATTCCAAAAATTAATCAAAATCACTCACAAATTTAAGATTTCAGTTTACAATAGTTTTCATATTACAAAAAAAACGAGTTTTGTCCGCCAAATACGAAAACTCGAACGATTTTTATGTTTTATGAACTGAGTCTTCTGTGTTTTCAGCAAGTCCTATTCACCCTATGCCTAAAACACTACTATACCAAGGACTTGGGCGACTCAGCCTCGGCAGTAAGACGAGGCCGAGGAACTTGGCCGAGGCCGATCGACTCGCCCGATGTTTTGAACCTTGAGTTCAAGTACAAAAGATACTTAAGTTTCTCTCCTAACTTCATTGTGACTTTTACACGATTTCTCTTATTTAAATTAGGAAATAAATCTTCAATCTTTTGCTAATAATTTTTTATGAAAAATGATCTTATAGGACCCTCCACTACCCATGTGTGTAGAGCCCTAATGAAGCACCATTAAATTTGACACGGATCTATAGAAAAATTAAGTCCTGCATCATATGATAACTTTTTTAGAAATCCATACCAATTTTAATGGTGATTCTTTAGAATCCTACACACATAGGTGCGGGAGGATCTTATAGGATCATTATTCATTTTTTATATTAATCATTTAGTTTTCCCTCTCATTTCCAAATTTTCAAGCTCGCTCATTTTCAAGAAAATATCATTAAAATTGTTGAATCGCATCAAAATTCAGAAAGGTGGTGAAATCACCTTGTTTATCACAATTGCGGTCACTCTAATAAGATCATTTCACTCAAATATCTAGTTATTTAAAGTTTATATAAGGATGCAACCTTATAAAGTAGAACTACGAATGCACTTCAAATATCTATCGGAAAAGGTAGTTTTGATGTTGAAAAGCCCTTTGATTGATCATCTCGACATCGAGATATATGAACATGAAAAAAAAAAAAAAATTTAAGTCTAAAAAATTAGTGCATTTTACAACATATTATCTACACCGTCCATTTTCAAGATTTTCATATGTTTATAGATCTACTTGATTTTTAAACTATTTTTAAAATTTAAAAATTTTNTAATTAGATATAAAAATAGA